ATTCATTCAAGATCCGTTAATTTGAACATAGATACATAAATGTTCATCTGAAATTATGGTTTGTATTACATATATAATATATCGATACAATCAAATACACAACACTCGTCTTTAACTCCCATTAAGCAACTCAAGCGCCTAGTTGACACTAGTTAAAATTCGTTCTAAGTAATGATTACTACTTTTGAATGTTATTGAACAAATACCGACTAGATTTTTATATCTAGCTTTCCAAAAAAAAAAATAATAATTCATAGCAAGAAATATATATATATATATGTATAACAATAAAATAAAATAAAATAGAATAAAAAAAAGGTAATAGCGAAACCATCGCCCATTGCAACATGAATATACTTAAAATTTAGTTTTAATTTTCTTAATTTCTAAACGGTAATGAACTATCGACATTAGCCACATTTTCAACTTCAGCATGATTGAACTTTTTTTCCTTATCAAAGCGATGGGAGTAAACAATGTAATTAAGAAATCCTGTTTGAAGAATATCAACATACGCTTTTGTTTCTTTGTCAAATTTCTTGATTTCGTTTTTAAATTGTCCAATATCTTCAGCTTCGTCTCGGTGATTGTGTTTGCATATTATTCTTTTAAGTAACAATTCACTTGCTAAGCATTTATCTTCGATCATTTCAAGAATCTCATCCTTATTCTCTTCTCTATCCTCATTCTCTTCTCTATCCCCTTTTTTTATATTTATGTTTTACAAGATACACATCTTCATCAATGATTATAAAAAACCAATCTTTGACAGATTCATCGTTTGTTTTACTAACTAGACTAAATCGAGATTCATCGGTTTTAGGTTTTCTAATCTTATATTCTTCAAATGCGTCCTTATCCTTATATTCTTAAGTGTGTCCTTATTCTTGATATAAAAACAACCCTCAAATTCATCAATTTTTTTAACATCAACTTCTGCAAGAACTCTTTTAGTATTACTCTCTGCAAGACCTATTTCAGCATTATTGATTCCAAATTTACTAATGTTATCCACTTTAACTATTCCTTCATTGGAAAAGAATGAAACAGCCGAGCGAGTTAAGACTGTAGAAAGGAGAAAGAGAAAAAATGTGTCAAAGTAAGGATGTGTACAAACAAAACTATATTTAAAAAGTAATTGTATTATGGAAATAAAAATTGTGAAAAAGAAAATTTTTTTTCTAACACGAAACCGGGTATGTGAAATAAAATATTTTATAATTAGAATAATAACCATTATAAAATAAAGCAAGTCTGTAGCAAGGCTTAGAGAAACCATATATAATGACTCCAAATAACCATATTTCTTTATCTTAGAGATTTTATCATAAAAATCATAGATTATGATAACAGTAGAATGTATCGGATAAAGGATAAGGATAAAAGTTTTTACGCGACGGAGAAAATTTTGGTTTGAAAAATATTTACGGTTAAAAAAAACAATAAACATAACAATCAGAAGAAGAGGGATTATCAAAAATGTTATCAGCAAACCATAAACAATTTTCTTATCTGAATTAAGATATTTTGCAAATTTTGCAGTAAAATACCATGCAAACATGGGAGTTAAAGATGACGATAGAATAAATAAATCATCCAGTAAACAGGTCAAAATATAGCAAAACTTAGACGTCAAACCATATATGGCTACGTTAAATAGAATGCCTCCAAACTCAAAGATTATTGACAATTGACTCAAGGCAGTGACGTGTACATGAAGTTCAGTATAATTGCTCGGTGGACAAGTCCACTCCCCATTCTCATCTTGATACTTATTCGCGAATAGTTGAATCGCTTTTGCAGTGGGAAGATACTCAAAAAAAAGGCACAAGGTATAAAAGATAAAAAATATAGAAAGCCTAGATCTAAAAATAGTGGAAAGATTACTGTTCATGATTGTCAGTATTAAA